TAGAAATGAGGAGGAACTTTCTGACAGTGAGAACAATCAACCAATGGAACAGCTTGCCTTCAGAAGTTGTGGGAACTTCATCACTTGAGACTTTCAAGAAAAGATTGGACTGCCATTTGTCAGAAATGTGAAATGAGCGGGGGTTGGACTAGATGACCTATAAAGTCCCTTCCAACTCTGTTAATATGTTAAATCTGTTAAATTACATCAGATGACTATTATAGAATTTTTATTGGCCAAGTGTGATTGGACACACAAGGAATTTTGTCTTGGTGCATATACTCTCAGTGTACATAAAATAAAAGATTATTATCTTGGATAATAATTGGATTATTATCTGGATCCGGCAATATTGGCCAACTATCGTCCTGTCTCCAACCTTCGCTTCCTGGCGAAGGTTGTTGAGAGTGTGGTCGCGCGACAGTTTCCACAATTCTTGGAGGAAACATCCTATCTAGATCCGTTCCAGTCGGGCTTCAGGCCTGGACACAGCACGGAAACGGCATTGGTCGCGTTGGTTGATGATCTCTGGAGGGCTCGGGACAGGGGTTGTTCCTCTGTTCTGGTCCTGTTAGACCTCTCAGCGGCTTTTGATACCATCGACCATGGTATCATGCTGCACCGGTTGGAAGAGTTGGGGATGGGGGGCACCGTATTACGGTGGTTCTCCTCCTTTCTCTCCGACCGGTCGCAGTTCGTGTTGGCAGGGGGGCAGAGGTCGACCTCAAGGCCTCTTATATGTGGAGTGCCTCAGGGGTCGGTCCTCTCGCCCCTCCTGTTCAACATTTATGTGAAGCCGCTGGGCGAGATCATCCGTGGCTTTGGGGTGAGATACCACCAGTACGCTGATGACACCCAGCTGTACATCTCCACCCCAGGCCACCCCAACGATGCCCTTGAAGTGATGTCCCAGTGCCTGGAGGCTGTGCGGATCTGGATGGGGAGGAACAGGCTCAGGCTCAACCCTTCCAAGACTGAGTGGCTGTGGCTCCCGGCATCCCGATATAGTCAGTTGACTCCATCACTGACTATTGGGGGCGAGTCGTTGGCCCCCACAGAGAGGGCTGGGAGTCCTCCTGGATAGGCAGCTGTCCTTGGAGGAACATCTGACGGCTGTAACCAGGGGGACCTTTTGTCAGGTTCGCCTGATCCGCCAGTTGCGGCCCTTTCTTGATCGGGACTCCCTACACACAGTCACTCATGCCCTCGTCACCTCTCGCCTTGACTACTGCAACGCTCTCTACATGGGGCTCCCCTTGAGGAGCACCCGGAGGCTCTAACTGGTCCAGAACGCAGCAGCGCGGGTAGTGACGGGAGCAGCATGGCGCTCCCATGTAACACCGCTCCTGCACGAGCTGCACTGGCTTCCGGTGGTCTTCCGGGTGCGCTTCAAGGTGTTGGTCATCACCTTTAAAGCGCTCCATGGCATAGGGCCTAGCTGTCTTCGAGACCGCCTGCTGCTACCGACGACCTCCCATCGACCCGTGCGCTCCCACAGAGAGGGCCCCCTCAGGGTGCCATCAGCCAAACAATGTAGGCTGGTGACCCCCAGGGGGAGGGCCTTCTCTGTGGGGGCACCTACCCTCTGGAATCAGTTGCCCCCAGAGATAAGGAGAATCCAAGACCTCAGTGCTTCCGTCGTGCCCTTAAAACCCACTTTTTCGAGCAAGCCGGGCTGGCTTAAGAAGAAATTTTTAAATGTTTTAATTGGTTTGTGATCTTTAATTTTTGGGCCAAATTTATATATATATTAATTGTTTTTAATATTTGTATTTCATGTTCTTAATTTTGGCTGTAGACCGCCCTGAGTCCTCAGGGAGAAGGGCGGTATATAAATTGGAAATAAAATAAAATAAAAATAAAATAAATTAAGCCATTTGTGCCATGAAATCTTGAGGTCCATATCATCATTTTACATCACTGAGACTTGATGTAGAGTTATGTTTATGGTCCAGAACGCAGCAGCGCGGGTAGTGACGGGAGCAGCCTGGCGCTCCCATGTAACACCGCTCCTGCGCGAGCTGCACTGGCTCCCGGTGGTCTTCCGGGTGTGCTTCAAGGTGTTGGTTATCACCTTTAAAGCGCTCCATGGCATAGGGCCTAGCTATCTTCGAGACCGCTTGCTGCCACCGACGATCTCCCATCGACCCGTGCGCTCCCACAGAGAGGGCCTCCTCGGGGTGCCATCAGCCAAACAGTGCAGGCTGGTGACCCCCAGGGGGAGGGCCTTCTCTGTGGGGGCACCTACCCTCTGGAATCAGTTGCCTCCAGAGATAAGGAGAATCCAAGACCTCGGTGCCTTCCGCCGTGCCCTTAAAACCTTCCTTTTCCAGCAAGCCGGGCTGGCCTAATTTTTTTTAAGTGTTTTTAAGTGTTTTGTTTATTGTTTTTAATTAATGGGGCCAAATTTATATATGTATATTTTAACTGTATTTTAATATTTGTATTTGATGTTTTTACTTGGCTGTTCACCGCCCTGAGTCCTCAGGGAGAAGGGCGGTATACAAATTCAAAATAAAATAAAAATAAAAAAATAAAATTATTCTTTTCCTCTGAGACAAGGAAGAAGGATAAGATATAATGATTTATGAAAGCTGTCCAGTTGAAACTATTTCACAATATTTTTTTTTTACAAAAAAAATGTAGTGAAATATATTCTAACATTTATAATGTATAAGACATGAGTGTTTATTTTGTCATATGCTCTAAACATTAAGTATAATGATTCTTAAAGGAGTAATATATTCATAAATGCCTAAAAAGTATTTTGAAGAACGTGGGGTAAACAGTTCCTCTTAAAGTTTGTGATAATGTGCCTCATTATCAAGAGCTCGCATATTTTCAATATCCACCCTACTCTGTGGTATTATTATAATTTTGAAAAGGTCAGAATGACAAAGATGTTGATATAAAAGAATCATTATATTGCAGGCATGAACTTCGATCAGATAGGGTTTCAAGTTGATTTATAAAATGAAGAATGTATCTGACATACGATAGCAGATTAGTCTTTAAATAGTAGTATATTTGTTTTATAATGAGTAAACTTTTATTACAGATAAATTTAAATAATATGATTTGTTCTATTGTTCTTTGTAACTTAATGTGGTAAATGAAAGAAATCCTTAATTATAACTATGAAATAGTGTATTAAAGTACTGTGTTCTTAACATTGTCTCTAGCATGACAGTCATGATATCTTACCATCTTTCCTTCCAAGAACTGTATCATATATTATCCCACTCTATAGCCAGAAATACGATGCTAGATAATAATGAAATACCCAGTGCTATGCAATGAGACAATTGTTAAACTGTGATCAGAAATACCTGGCAGGAATGGAAAAACTTGTGAAATTAGATACAGGTAGTCCTCAACTTACAACCCTAATTGAGCCCAACATTTCTCTTGGCGAGACAGTTGTTAAGTGAATTTTGCCCCATTTTATGACCTTTCTTGACACAGTTAGGTGAATCATTTCAGTTGTTAGTACAGGTAGTCCTCGACTTACGACCATAATTGAGCCCAAAATTTCTGTTGCTAAGTGAGACATTTGTTAGGTGAGTTTTGTCCCATTTTTACTTTTCTTGTCACAGTTGTTAAGTGTATCACTGCAGTCATTAAGTTAGTAAGAAGGTTGTTAAGTGAATCTGGGTTCCCCATTGACTTTGTTTGTCAGAAGGTCGCAAAAAGGGATCACATGATCTGGGGATACTGCAACTGTCATAAATATTAAGCAGTTGCCAAGTATCCGAATCTTGGTCGCATGACCATGAGGATGCTGCAATGGTCTTAAGTGTGAAAAATGGTCGTTGTGATGTTGTAGCTTCACTAAATGAACTGTTGTAAGTCGAGGACTACCTGTAACACAGTTGTTAAGTGAATCTGGCCTCCTCATTGACTTTGCTTATCAGAAGGTCTCAAAAGGTGACCACATGACCCTGGGACACTGCAACCGTCATAAATATGAGTCAGTTGCCAAGCATAAGAGCCACGGTGGCACAGTGGTTAGAATGCAGTACTGCAGGCTACTTCTGCTGACTGACTGCTGCCTGCAGTTCAGCAGTTCAATTCTCACTGGCTCAAGCTTTTCATCCTTCCGAGGTTGGTAAAATGAAGACCTAGATTGTTATGGGCGCAATATGCTGACTCTGTGAACCGCTTAGAGGGCTGTGAAACACTGTGAAGCAGTATATAAGTCTAAATGCTCTTGCTATCTGAATCTGTGATCACGGGGATGCCACAGTGGTCATAAGTATGAAAAACAGTCATAAATCATTTTTTCAGTGCCCTCGCACCCTAAACGAACTGTTGTAAGTCGACAACCACCTGTATCGAAGGTACACGCTCACAAGCAATTCCTACCAGAAAGGAAAATTGGAGAGAGGGCTACCCCTGTGGAAAACGGTGCTCCTCCTGAACCTCTGAAGCTTACAACACACTTTTTTCCAAGCTGAATCTTAAATTGGGCACAGCAGCACTCTTTAATCTGGACTCTCAGATGCATGAAGACAGAATTGGCAGCTATGCAGCTGAAAACCGAATGATTTTCTTTGGGGGGGAAAAACATAAAAACATGCAAACCCTCCGACGAGCAAGGCAACTGCGTAGTATCGCGCTCGAGAACCTTGGCCGCAACACCTCCCCCCCCCCCCCCCCCCGACAACGCCACTGACTCGAGGCAATCTAGAGCAGGGGTCTCCAACCTTGGCCACTTTAAGACTTGTGGACTTCAATTCCCAGAGTTCAAATTCAATTCTCAGAGTTCAGCAAAGCTGGCTGAGGTACTCTGGGAGTTGAAGTCCATAAGTCTTAAAGTCCAAGGTTGGAGACCCTTGATCTAGAGAACAACGCCCGGCCGAAAGGGGGCACTACAACACCCGGCTTCCCCCTTAGTCCGTGAGTCGACAATCGTTGAGGGGAGGGGGGGAGTGGGAGGGGGAAAAAAAAAAAAGCACCGAGGTCACACATGCGCAGTCGCAGAAGGAAAAAAAGGGGGGTCAGCGCAGGCGCAGAAAGGCCGACGGAGCTGAAGGCGGGGCGCGGTGCTAGTAGGCCCAAGTCAACAATATGGCGGTCAGGGGTTGCTACGGTACCCAAGTTTGAAGGGGGTTTCGGAGGCCTCGCCTCTCTTGTTTTCTACCTCACATCTTCCTCAACTCGCCCGCCATGGCCCGGCACAGAAACGTCCGTGGCTACAACTACGACGAAGGTAGAGCGAGTTGCTGTCTTTGTGAGAACTTCTTATTGCCCTCCTTTCGAAGCGCCCCTTTTCCTCCCGAGAGGGCTCCCACCTGCCTTCCAAGGCCGGTGCGAGGAGCGTTAGTGACATCACTAACGGTCAGCCTGGCTTCTCCCGGGTTTGTGTGTGTGTGGGGGGGGGGGGAGAGAGCGCGGGGGGGGAGAGAGCGGGAAACGGCCAGGAGCCAAAGCAGGTCCGGCTCCTGAACCCCTGAAGGGAGGGGCTGCTTGTTATCAACTAGGCCGGCTTACGTGGATAGGTGCTAATTCGGAAAAAGGTGGCTTTCCTCCCGTTTTTACTTGTCCCCAAAGACCGTCTTGTGCACTGAAAGGCCCGGTGATTTCGAAGCCCGACGGAGTAGTCCCCCTCCATTGCTCAATCTGACAGCTGCTTCCTTTCCTTGTGATAATGGACGTAAACAAAGTAGGGTGTTTAAAAACAACTCGACGTTTACACGGAGTTTACCCGTGGGATGCCTTTGATGAATGAATGCCAGAAGCAACAAAAAGGCAACAAAAAAGGCTGGGGGCGGAGGGTCGGGCGTGGATGTGATTGTGTTATCTCACAGCTGAGCGTAGGGGAGGACTTTGGTTGCCTGTGTTGGAAAGGAAGTGGAGATAACATCTTGAAAAGGCAACGCTGGAGTGAGCGAACCAGATGTAATAATAATAATAATAAGGCTTGCTTCTGTTTTGAGTGTCCCCTGTTAAACGTTAAGCTCGTTTCAAATTGGTCACAAGTTATGATACATTTAAGAAACTCTTCAGATGCCTGCATTTAAAGCAGGTTTTGGATTCATAGGCAAGCGTATATTGAATTAGTGATTTAAATCCGAATGTTAAACTTTATTTCTAAATCTTGTCCAGTGATTTGCAAGTGCGCCTTTTCAGATTTTTAAACATGTACTTAATACTGGGTTAAATCATGTCGCCAACCAAAAGGATCCAATTATTTTTCACGTAATTGTTATTTCATTCATCCCTGTTATTCTTTTATGGTGTGAGTCTTTTATCTACACTATTTTATTTCAACATAAACGTAAGAGAACAATATTTTAAATCCTGATCCCAAGTTCAGGAATGTAATAGTTTCCATACAGACTGTGAAAATAAGTAATAATTTTTTAAACTGAAGTATTATGCTCCTATTAGATTATTACAAGTGATGGTATTACATTGGCTTTAAAGATTGCTATCAAGCAATTGCCTACTTGAATTTAATTTCTCCTTGCATGCCCTCTGAAATTGAGGAGAACTTTTAGTATACCAGATACACCAGAAGGAATATCTTCTGTACATGCAGCATGCATACTTAGGTAAAACAGGTACCCTTTGCCACTATGTCTGTTTCCTAGTTGTAACTATCAGGTAGAGAAAAGGCTTTTGCTTGTGAAATAAAGCACTTGAATTGGCCTGATCTGTTGTTTTAAACAGAGTGAAACTATATTGGAAAAATGAAAAATGCTAAAAATGTCTGAAATCTTTCTTGCAGAATTTGGTACTTATTTTTTATTGTTTTCTATGGGTAAGTTATAAGTTCTAAATGTATTGGAATAAGAAATATCTGAAAAAACCTAATGTATATTCCGGAAGAAGATGTAAATAAAAGAAGTTTCAGGAATCAAATTGTCTTTAATGCATATATTTAAAATGACTCAAATAGAAATGCTATTTAATTACAATGTATTTTGATACTTGCTAGAATAAAATAGGACTATTATTCAAAATTACAGTTAATGAGAAAGTTGGTTTTGTTTTTGCGTTTCAGATTTTGAAGATGATGACCTTTATGGGCAGTCTGTAGAAGATGATTACTGCATCTCACCATCAACAGGTTTTCATTACATTTTGCCATTATTGTTTTATGATGTAGGTTTACACAGTTGATGTAGCCTTAGGCTACCTCTATGTAGTGTGGGACCTGGAATGAACTAGAGCAGGGGTCCCCAACCTGTGGGCCTCAGCCCACTACCGGGTCATGGCCTGTTGGCCATCGGGCTGCATGAGTGGCTGGACAGTGCACACGTGCATCCCTCCACTTGCGCTAGTGTTGTGAGCATTGTGCAGGCGCTAGTGCTGCAAGCGTTGTGCGTACTTGTATCACCATTTGCGTCTCTTGCACACTTGCAGCCCCATTTGTACATGCAGATGCTCGCATAAAGGCACCTGCCCCATCCCTCCTCTGGGCCACTAACCCAGAAAGGTTGGGGAACTCTGAACTAGAGAAGCTGTGACCTGTTGAGTCATTGTTTCAGAGATAATTCCTTACAAGATTGCTCAATATCTTCAACATGGCAGAACTTCTAATATATTTGAAAAGTTCTTAAAAATTCAGGCAGATATTTAAAGATGTATCTGCCTTGAAACTAGTCCATGTTGAACTGTATAACACAATCAAATATTAGAAGTTTCACAGGAAATGTTATGGCATTTTTCATTTTGTCATAAAATGCTATGTGGTAATTTTTAAGACGTAAAATGTTTTATAATATTTTCCAAATTACAACTCCTATGGGATCATGAATCCTGGATTTTGAACTCTTTCTGTAAGTTATTTCATTTGAAGTACATTGATTGAAAAAGGTTTCCCAATGATGTACTATTTTGCCCAGTTAAACAGGCATTTTAGAGTGGCAGAGTTTTAGTAGTATATAGATGGATAGATGTATGCAAAATAACTTGGCATACAGTCTGCTAAGAATGGAATAATGAATGGAGGCAAAAATTCCTAGTACACCTTATTTGCTTATGAGCACTTTAGAAATTGGTTTGGAGCTGATATCTGGTAAAATCAGCTTACTTGAAGAATACTACTGCTCAAGTCTGAATTTCCTATCTATATCTAAAGTCTAATATCATGTATATCTCTTCTTATACCCACTCAGTCAGAGCAAAAAGAATAGAAATAATGAAACTTCATATATAATTAGAAGATGTATTTAAAATGACTTTGGAGATTATTCATACCACATGATTACGCTATAACAAATATTCTTTCATCATCTGTAATGAAAAGTTTTAATTCTTTGAAACATTTAAAAGGCAAACTAATTGTCCCAGCCTCATAATTAAACAAATGACCAAGAATAAACTATAGAAATTAGAATCAGATTTGCAAAAATATCTACTGTGAATTGGTAATAAATATTTGTAGTTCTTGAAAAGACATCAAAAGTTTTAGAATAGAAAGGCAAATTAATTATGGACATTTCACCCAGATGATCCTTGTTCTATTCTTATTTTATTGTAGCTGCTCAGTTTATTTATTCAAAACGAGATAATACTTCAGTCTCTGCAGAACCTTTAGAGGAACATGATTATGAAGACTCTGAACATAGCAATTTTATCTCCAGTCACCAGCTGACTGGACTTGAAAAAGGTATTATACAAATAATAACTATTTAATGTGTGTAGATTTAATGTGCGTACTTTGTGTTCTCTGTTTATTGGTTTACAGAAATACTTGATTTTCAGTAAACTGGTATACTTGGCTGACATTTGCATTTGAAAGAACTGATGCAACAAGTTAAAATCTGTGTAAAACTTCTAACACTAAGCAAATGATGGTAGAAGGTGGAAAGACAGACAGATGGGGCAAGGAGACTTGGTATCACACCCCTTTAATCTACCTTGTTAGGTCACATCATTTCAATAATTCCCAGTGAAAAATACTCAGAAATTACTCAGAAGCTACTCTGATGTAAATGTATGATTTTAAGAATTTTACAATTTCTATAAAGGGGCTAGTAGTTCCACTGCCACTAGAGTATCTTTACTTTATACCAGCCAGAAACCAACCCATCACAAGAATTAATATAGCCATCTAATGGTATCCCATACCTCCATGGCCTCAAGCTTGATGTCAAAACCAGGACTTCAAAGCCTTGCTAAAGGTCAGTGGGTTGGGATAAGTTTGATCACAAGGTGACTGATTTTGCACTGGTTGAGTATGGTGACAGAAAAAAATACTTTCATGGATCCAGTTGGAAGACACTTCTGATGGATGGAACCTGGAACATGCCTCTCCTAGTGGATCTTACAGGATGGATACCTACAATTGTGGAGAGATAGTCCCACAAGTAACCCATTTTCCAAGTTGACTACCAGCACTTTGAATTAAAATCAGAAGTGCATCGGCAGCCAGTGGAGCTTATGGAGCAGAGTGTCTGTGAAGATTCACAATCATCCAGGTCATAGTTGTGCCTCTGCTTTTTTTCTTCAAAAGGCAACTGGACTGATTTTTCCTTGATGAAGAAGAAGAAATTGTTTCACTTTGGATCCAAGAAGTTTCATCAGTTCTGATGACAGGGATGGAAGGATGGGTACTAACAGTTGAGACTGGATGGGAGGATGGAAGGATAGGTTCTGATAGGATGGTGGGGGGATGAAAGAATTGTATTTCTTTGCAGTCATCTGGTTGTTAGCACTCTGAGAGCTGTTGAGGCCACTTGGGGCCCTCAGGGTCACCTGAATCAGGATGCAATTGGTTGCGGAATCTTCTTGGAACTGCTGCAAGGGCTGTGTTGTAAATTGAAGATAGGGGATGTTTTATTCTTTTCCATTTGTTGAGGGAGGGGTGTTCAATTCTAACAGATGGATTCTTTTACCCCTCTTTCAAACCAATGATCTTCTCTATCCAGAATGTGGACTTTGCTGCCTTTAAAAGAGTGACCTTTGTATTTCAAATGCAGATGGACCACTGAATCTTGTCCTGATGGGTTTGATCTTCTATGTTGTGCTATACATTTGTGAAGTTCTTGTTTTGTTTCACCAATGTACAGATATGCATGTGTTTCACTGCATTGTTTTGCATATATCACATTGCTCAGTAGGTAAACTTTCAGCCCAGTAATAAGGTAAGGTTCTGATCACTCCTATTTTGTGTTCCAGTGAATGGTGAGAATCAAAATGCAAATACTGATTTCTGTGCGTGGGTTTTCTGTAAACTTCAGTGTTAAGGCTTCTGTGTTCCTTAATGTGCACTGCACAGTCCAGTCCAGTCCAGGAAAGCCAGACTATTTTCCTTAACATCTTCCTCTGTGACCTTAATGTACTTGTCCACCGAGTTGATGTGTTTGATGAAGGCTTCCACTTCCTGTAGAAATCTTGATCCAAGTAACATCCACATACCTATACTAGTGAGTGGGTGGAAATCCTGCGAAAGTGTTTAGGGCTTTGGTTTCTACCTCTTCCATGTAGAGATTGACCACAATGAGGGACACAAGTGAACCTATGGCGCAGCTGTGTTTTTGTCTGTAGAAACTTCCATTATATTTAAAATGAAATAAAATTATGCACTAGGTAACAGTAACAGAGTTGGAAGGGACCTTGGAGGTCATCTAGTCCAACCCCTGCTCACACAGGAGACCTATATGCACTTATAACTCCACACTGCTGCATTTTTTACAAGCTGAAGCTTCCAAATACTTTCAAAGGCAGCCCCATGAAGACCACATTGCAGGAATCCTTTTGGGAGAAGACTAAAACATATGATCAGGGCTCCCTGGCCAGGAACAGCTGCAATTGGCACACAAATGCAGTTGTGCAAAGATGCTCCTGCCATGGCTGCCATTTGTTCTTTGAACAGGAAGTCCTCAAGTTGAACACAGGTTTTGCCCAGGATAACTGAACAATGTTTCATCAAAGCTGCCAATTTTGCCATCTCTGCAAATTCTATCAACTTTACCATCCATTTTTTCTTTGTAAGTCCTTTTAACTTCGTACATATAAAAGTCTTGATACTATTATCATATGCGAAAACATAGTTTCAAATGATTTTTCAATCTATATTTGAAAACCACTCTTAGAGTATTTGTGAGAAGCTGAAAGAAATGAAAATTTGGTTTTTGGATTTAATGTATTTTTTAATTGATATCTGTATCAAACAAAGTCAGAAGTCATTCTATTTCTATTTTCTTTACATTTTTTCTGTTTGCACTTTAATCTTGGTTTCCTCCTGACTTTCCCTTTTTTTCCAGTACTTTTTCTTGTTTGTTTATCATTTACTTTTGGTTTTTAATATAATATTTAATATTGTATGTATAGAAAAGAATAAGAATAGAATATTTGGCCAAGTGTGATTAGACAGACAAGGAATTTGTCTCTGGTGCAGAAATAATAGTCTAATATATTATTATGCTGAATTATATTATGTTACTTATGTTATATTATGCTATGTTACATTATATCTTATGTTGGAACAGTACAAGGGATGGACGTTCCCCAGAACTAGGAAGTCCCAAAATCCAGAGCTACTAGGAAGTTTTTTTTTTTTTTTTTAATTTGATTTATATGCCGCCCTTCTCTGGAGACTCAGGGCGGCTTTACAACGCATTAAGCAATAGCCTTCATACTTTTGTATATTTTATACAAAGTCAGCTTATTGCCCCCACAATCTGGGTCCTCATTTTACCTACTTTAGAAAGGATGGAAGGCTGAGTCAACCTTGAGCCTGGTGAGATTTGAATTTACAGTAATTGCAGACAGCTGATGTTAATAACAGTGCTTTAGTCTGCCGTACCACCAGGGCTCTTATTGATCATTATACTTTTAGCTCACCTTTTAAATATACTTTTTAATATATGTATCTTTATCATCTAGTGAACATACTTAATATGCCTGCCTCCTAATTTCCCTATCAGATCACATTACATAGCAAGAATGACTGGGCCAAAGTCATCCAACCAGCTTTCAGGCCTAAGGGGTATCTAAAACTTAGTCTCCTGGTTTCTAGGGCAGTACCTTAACCACTACACCAAACAGGGAGTAAGCAAAATACCCTAACTATGATGCCAAATCTGGCTCTAGCATGAAATTTGATTACTCTGCTTTGTGTCTCTCTTTTAAATACTTTGACTAATACATTGATTTTCAAATTTGCATTCATCTTAATCTATTTCTATAATGTATTTTTATATTAGGATTAAATGTATTAAAAATATTGAATAATAAGTTCAGTATTGGAGCTACATGTATGTCCATGCTTGCTCCAAAACATTCTATTGCCTTCCAATCTGAAATGCTTCCAATCTGAAATGTATTACGGTATATTTTAAAAGTGCATGAAATCTGTATTTTTTCTTCCTGGATGAAAATTGTGGTGATTATTTAAAAGAAATTAAAATATCTATTTTCAGCTGTTTGCATGATTTTTTTCTGCAAGATTTACCCCTAATAATTCATCATTTCATCCCATTATTTAGCTCAGCTAAATTCATGCCTTGGTCATATGAAAGAAGTTCTTGGAGATTCAGTGCCAGAAAAAATGCTGGTGGAAGCAGTACTCAGCAAAAACTTTGATATACAGCAAGCTTTGGACTCTATCCTTGCACAAGACAATAAGCAAAATGGGAAGACCAAGAATGAGGATAATATAATTGTAGGAAAACCAACTAAAGGTACGTTTATATTTATATTTGCAGAATTAACAGGTAAAGTTTTAAAAGGGGCACTTTTTATGTGTGGGAGTCAGTCTTGACTCCTGGTCATTACATGAGCAAGTTCATGTTGTCTTGGCACATTTTCAGAAGCACATTTTCAGAAGCACTACTGCTAGGAAAGAGTGCCTGGCTCAAGGTCACTTGATTGGCTTTGTGCCTAAAGCTGGGCTTGAACTCACCGTCTCCTGGTTTCTTTAGCCAGTACCCCAAACTGATTGTTCTATAAATTGAGTAGCGAAATAATACATCTAAATGTAACACAAAAGTGCTACTTGGCATACAATTAAATCTTAGTCTCACAAAGATAAATAGTGCATCCTGTAAATATAATTTGGAGACAAACTGTGTGCTATATTAATTCCTTTAATAGTAATTTTAATTAAATTGAACGCATGTGAAGTTGAATTCATGAACATATAATGTATTACTCTAAATATAGTTTCAATAATGTTTGTTAATTAAATGCCTTTCATGTTTTTTTTTCTTGATTTTGCTGTTGTCTTTCCTGCTTGCAAATTGAAACTATCATTACTGTGACCTTGCATCTGTCTTGGAATTGTTGGCTGTTGTAAGGTAAGGCTTATTTTGTTCAGAAATATTTTCTAATATTAATCACTTGACTAATTTGGTTGAAAACATTTCTGATTCCACTGGTTCCTCCTTTAGTTTTAATGGTCCAATTGTCAATGCTGAATCCACTTATAATACTTCAGTTCCAAGTGATAAAATCCTCCTCAGATCCAAATGTTGGAAAACCCCTGCTAAAAAGAAAACTTTTACATCTTCATGCAAATCCTTGGAAATTATTCCTTTATCATTAGGTGATGGCAATGAACAATCCATCAAGTGTGACACTCTCCCACAAGCTAAGAGCAATAGCACTACAATTAGGGAACCTTGCACTGAATATGGCACTTGCTATAATTTGGGGGCTGAATTGCTTAAAGAAAACCTATCAGAAAAAAATTCTTGGAGTTGGGCTGAGTTTAAAGACCTTAAGAACTTAAAAGACATACTTAATGAAACAGGTGATTCATCAGATGCACAAGCTGGTTCATTAATCATGCGACAGAAAAAAGATGATTGTGGACCCAAAAGCTGCTTGGATAGTTACTTTGATAATTTAAAACTAGATAATATAAATGATACATCTAATAAAATGACTGAATCTTTTGAAAGCAAAAACAAGGGTTGCTTTCAAGGGTGCAGCAGCAATTCTTTGAAGGTTAGCAGCTTATCATTTTCAATGTCTGAAAGTCCATCACTGGCTGATCTCCTGCAGGAACATCAAGAAAGCAATTCAAGCAAGCCTTGCTCATTGCATAATCTTTGCAATTTACCCTCAGCAGACCTCACAGATATGGAATTAGAACATTCACCATTGTCTCAGCTAGCAAACCATCTTCCAGTATCATCTGGCATGACAGAACTCTCAGGATCCTTATCTTCCTTGACACATTCTAAGTCATCTCCAGTAAAAGAGCTTGAGAGTTTATCACTTTCAGATTTAATTGCAAAATCTATTGCAGTGGACAGCCCTGAAATAATAAACAGCCATTCAGAATTTCATTTAGCTAAAAAGGTGCAACCTTCAGTTGTAAATTCAGATATTGATCTAAGTGTACTTATTAGAAAATCAGTATTATCACCAGAGCCTGAAGAAATGCAGTTAAATACAATGCTTCCAGAAACTAAAGCTTTATTTTCAAAGCAGGGGCAGCAAATGTTTTTAACTAAAGTAAGCAAGAAAAGCAAAAAAAAAGTGAAGTCACCTATTTTAAAAGGCACTGTTTCATGGGCAAAAGCTTTGTGTGCAAAACCCTCCACTTTTGCTATAACTTTATGTCTTCATTACCCTTCAAAGAGATGTAAACATCAAAGTGTAAATATCCATAAGGCTTTTTTGTATAGCAGGCAAATACAAGAAGCAAAAGTTAATGAAATTGGACCCTTAATGGCAATCACTCCATTTGATTTCAAATCACCATCTCCTGATGATATTGTAAAATCAGGTCAAAAGAAGGCATTCACTAGGTAGTGCAATGAACCAATGTTAATTTTGATTATTTCTGAAGTTTAAACTGTTTTGTACAATATTATTTTGGATTCCAAATTGGAATAGATTTTGTAAAAGCAAAGTAAATTTCAGGTTATATTGGGTAGCTCAATTTTTAGTAAAGATTTTAAAGGATGCACTGGATTCTAGTCTTGTTATTGTTTTATCGCTTACTGAATTATTTTGGTTGGTTGGAGAAAATATTGTATGCAGTAGTTCTAAAAAAGAACAATATTAACACTATGATTTCAGATTTAAAAATTACATTGTGGAACAAATTCTTGAAAAAATATATTACTATAAGTAATTCACCAATTTTGTTTTTAATATTTGATATGCCACTTAAAAGCTTTGAGACATGTATTTTTCTTTTCCTACCTTTTACCTATTAATTCATAAATCTGAGTTACAATATGATTTGTTTATTTTGGTTTTAGCATAAAATGCAAATCTGTCCACTGCAGTTTGTCATTTTTGTGTTGTTTTTCAAGGATCTGTACATAAGTAAATGAAAAACAAATCATATTATGAATTAGACTTTTCTTTCATCTTTTTGTCATACATCTTGAAAATTAAGTAATGAAGACTCTGTAATAGTGTATAAACACTGTTGGGCATAGTAGTAAACAATTTATAAACTTTAATGAAAGCAGTTTTACTTATTTGAAAGCCATCCTGGCTTTTAGATAAGTTCTAAAAGACAGTATTGTAAACCCCTTTTTCACCTGGAATATTGTATAGCCAACGATGTAAGAATAGAAGGGAAGCTTATGTGATTAATCTTCTTCCCACTGAGAATCCGATTCAGTGGGGCCAATTGAAGATTATTGATAGAGTTTTAAGAGGATTACAGAAGGAAGATGGACTTGCCTGAACGTGATTGGAGAAATATTGCACTGTTTGTATGAAGTGACCAATCTGAAAATTCTCTTATTCCATAATGCTTATAGTATATGATAGGTCTCCCAGCCATTTTTGGTGGGGAAGGAGAGCCTTGAGGGGAAGGGCAGAAAAAAACCAGATCTATGATATCAAGTTGCTGGTTGTATATGCATCATTGGGCATTACAGTTTTAAAAAATATTTTTCTTTATTTTTTCATTTAATGAAGTAATTTTTTTTTTTTTTGCCGAAATAGGTATACATGGTAAGAACTGTTGCCAATCTTTTTTTTTCTGGACTATGTATTTCTTACATGTATATATGCATATATTGAAATATATTAAAGGTGCATGCTAAACATTTTAGATGCATTGTTTAAAAAAGCTCCTTCATTTCTTCCTTTGTGCAGTGGGCAAAAGAATTATAGAACTTCTACCCATAATTCCCCATGTCATTTTAACAAAGGAAACTCAGGTCATCAGCTTTATTAGAACAATTGGGATTCTTCCGAAGAGGTTGTTGAATGGTAGAAAGACAGGAGGGAAAATACATTTTTGTTCAAAGGATCCTTACCTGCCATTAATACAAAATATATATTTCTTTATATTTAGTAGATACCTTAGTGGAATAATATTGCATTAGTGTAACTGGGAATTATATATATATATCTCAATTTTCTTACTTCTTCGTAGGGTTTATGTGTGTTTTTCTTCTAGCCAGGTTTTCCCTACGTAGCCAAGGTTTTTTTGTAGCTCCAGCTCAGTAGAGCTGGCTAGAAGAAAAACATATATATATATATATATATATATATATATATATATATACACACACACACACACACATCTGTGAGTGCATAATATATATGAGAGAGATGATGTAATATATACTTTTTAAGCATGCGAAAATACAAATTTCATTCCATTGCATGTCAAAACAAATTATTTGTTGCAATTCAGGGAACTTGTTAAATATAAATGTTTATACATTTTTAAAAGAGTAAGAAAAATGTCTTTTCCATAATTTTCTGCTCCATGAAATGTTTTTTTTTTCTTTTTTCACTTTTGATAAATATTCTTACAATTCTGCCATGTACTCTTACAAAATTCAGGTCTCCCAATCTTTGTAAATGTAGGATTTTTCTCTTTTTCCCATAGAGAAACTTGAATAGATGAGAAAGTAAGGAAAAGGTCTCTGTGAGAGATATTGATAAGCAGCTGTACACACTTATTAATTCAAATAAGGGATAAACTGCACAATTGTTTTAATGTTGTGTATTTATCCAAATGTAGAACATCTTTATTGTATATATAAAAACATTATTGGATAAATTTTTAAATATGGTATTGATGTATATATTTAGATAAAAACAAATCTGTCCAAAGATGACATTTTATTTTCTTAATCTTATGATTGTTACTTGTTTCCTAGAATGTTTTAATCTACATTAAATTTTGAAAATATTTCTGATGTTAAATATTCTTTACATGTTGTGAGTATAATCTTTTTGTGGTGATTGTTGCTTTTTAATAAATTTTCTTTTTCCTGCCCAACATTCGGATACAGAAACTTAGTATATACACTGGCCATGAGTTTACTGTGCCATATCTCTGTTAAGTGAACTATTTATCCACTTATTCTCCACTACTTAAACCTGCGATTTAAAGGTAACCCAGAGGTATACTGATTTATAGAGGAGCATTCTATAGAACTGAAGGATAGGTAGATTGTTGTATGTATGGTGGATACTGGCCTCATATTGTAGATAGTTGTAAATCAAATTGTAAATTGTGTTTAAAAAGTGGGGGATAAAGTTGCATTTTTAGAGGAATCAAATGTGGATTTTGCATTTACATTTTATTAATATTTTAATGTTTTAAAGCTATACTTTTCTTTATGTGGATAAATGTAGTACAATTTTACTTGTGTGTATTTTTGAAGAATAAGATTGTTTAAATAATCCTTTAACTGAAACTTTTATGTTTATTTGGAGAATATAAAATGGGCTAAAAATATTCAGAGTTTTCTGAAGCCAGCATCACAGTTGTTTTATGCATTCAGTGTTTTAAAGTAAAATTGGCTTGTAATTTTCTTCATGAATTATATTCATAATAAAATTATGATTTAATCAGTTGGCTCACATTCTTTTGTGTATTTTTTGGACACCCAGAGTAGCTGTTTGACTGAACTTCCATTAATTAATGCAGTTTATTATATGCAATCAATGCTGGGAATGAGCTAGCATCCTGTCATTTTTAGGAGGAGGATTCTTAGGAGTGTGCATGGTAGAATGGGAAATTGTTGTTATCTTTGGAAGGTATTTAGTAGACATTTGACATTTTGTCTCATGTATCCTATTTATGTTTAAATTTTTTATTTAGTTTATTTATTTATTTTTATTTATTTATTTTTTTAATTTGATTTATATGCCGCCCTTCTCCGGAGACTCAGGGTGGCTTACAGTGCGTTAAGCAATAGCCTTCATACTTTTGTATATTTTATACAAAGTCAGCTTATTGCTCCCACAAACTGGGTCCTCAATTTACCTACCTTAGAAAGGATGGAAGGCTGAGTCAACCTTGAGCCTGGCAAGATTCGAACTTACTTTAATTGCAGACAGCTGGTGTTAAATTACAGTGCCTTGTCTGCAGAGCTATCCAGGCTCCAGTTGGGGACAAAGGACAGTCTGAAATATAAATTTGTTGAGGATTATATACTTGTCCATTTGTACAAGATTCTGATCAATTTCTACTCGTTTCCTAGCAATTATTAATTTATTTTATTATATTTGTGTGTTGTCCATTCCATCTAGAGGCAACTCTGGGTGACTATTTCTTTAGATAAATTATTCAGTATTCCAACTAGTGGCAAATTATTTTTTTTATATAGGAGTAACTAAGAATGCAGAATTCCAGAAAATAGAAATTGAATTATTTTTTTCACAAGTAGTTAAATTATTATTATATAATTCCTTAATTCTTGATTAAACCATCCTGACAGAACTGAATCTACTACTAAAGACCTGATTTTTGAAAATCTTAGATTCAGTCCTTACAAATGTGTTCAGATTACTATGTTTTTTGAGGAAGAAAAGTATATAGAATTTAAATGTACAAAAAGCAGAAAAAGACAGATAAATTGCAAAGATATTTATGACATTAAGAAAAATAATCATACACTCAGAAAAGAAGAAACCTCTGAAGAGATGTTTTTCTTTCTGTTTATAGTTCAAATATATCCTCACTATGTTTTTCTTAGAATCAGGGATAATGGTGGGAAATCATAATATTTAATTCTGAATAATTAAGGAATTTTACATTCCTTTCTTTTACAAAGTTAAATAATATACTTCTAGTATGCCTAACATGCCTAAAAACTTAATGGAAATTTGAACGTGATATATGAAAGTGTATTTCTAATCCTAAACTATCATGTCCATGTGCCTTTAATAATTATATTCATAATATTTAAAAATATATTTCATATACATTTGGAGAACAGGTATGCTTTCTTAACAGTGGACTCAAGCAATCTGTCTTGGCCCACCTTTTAAACCTCCATTATTTATGTGGTTAAATGTAGAGGAAAAACCTCTGCACAAGCTACATCTGATTGCAGATTTCTGGAGTACCTCTATAAATAATATATATTTGTGTATGCTGGATTTGGGTGCTTTTTTTGTTTTTATTTTTTTATTACTGTTATGAGTTGTTCTTGGATTATGTTACATAAGATGGACAGACATATAAGTCTTACATTGTTCTGTTCATATACAATTATGAATATTCTGCTTACAATTGTATATGTCCTATGTTTCTTGGCAAACTCTAATGAGTAAAACAGTATGCTTGAAAAAGTGCACAAAATCTATTGAAAGTGTAGGAATTGAAAATATAATTGAACGTTAGATTTAGATTTCTGAGATCTATAGTAATATGACTAGCAAACCCTAACTATACAAAATAATAATAATTCAGTGTAAGAGAAGTTATGTAAATCTGTACGTAACTTTTTGGGTGAAGATTGCCTTGCAGTAGATTATTTTATTCCTTATTAGTGTAGGGTTAACAGAAAATACAGCTCTACTTAGCATGAAAAAGTGGTGTTAACATCTTAGTATTCAGAAACCTTTTTTCTGTCTTATGGATCACAAAAATAGTTGCAAATAAAAAATCCTCATTCAAAATAATGTAATTAAAAACATGTAAATATTGAAATAGCTTATTTATTTTTTCATTATTCAGAGCAATAAAATGTGGCGTATTAAACAGAATGTCTGTGCAAAAGTGTCTCTTGGGACATTTGCAAGTCACAGAATCTGTCTGATACAGCTGTGTGTGGGCTTCTGAAAGGAAGTGGCTGATGTCAGAAGCAGTGAGAAACGTTTTTAAAAAATGAAATTCAGTTTATATACACCTACACTGGAAAAAATGACACTCCAAGATCTTTTCCCTAAGATGCTGGTTTGCAATGTTAAACCCAGCATACAATGTTTTGGAAGAATATTGCTTAAAAAAGTGATAGTTGATTTCTTTGATATGTATATCAACCAATAATTTACATCTTAAAAAAAAACAGCCAGTAGGTTCAAAGTAAGATAATTTAACTGAAACATTTTTTTTTTGGATGGTTATTCCATCTAAGACTTGTTTTAGTATTTGGAAATCCCATTGCAGAAAAATCTATCTGATAAGGGAATCCCACAAACACATAATAACAATCTTGTGAGTTATAACTCGTATTTCCATAATAAGATTAGATAGAAAACTTAGTTTTATAAGGTTTATATCCATCCTAGATTATTACCGCTTCACACCAGGCAAACATTGATAGCTTTCTATATTTTTTTAAACAGCTCTGGAAACAGCTTTACAATTTGTCATATGTAACTTTTTTCAAAAAAAAAATGCCAACATATTCAGAATACTTGCTTTACTAATACATGTATTTACTTACTGAAGTTTATATGCTGTTCCAAGCCGAGTCTAAGCAGTTTATATTTCCTTGTTAAAGACTAAAAATGTAAAAGCATATAACAAAAGAACAATGATCAGAAACAAATAAAATTATTTAAAAAATCTATGATAACCAAATATCAATAAAAAACTCAGCCCATGATGAAGGTTCCAACTCATTTAAAAAAAAAAAAAAAAAAAACTATGTTCATTGTTTGTATTATTTTTGTTGTAAGCCGCCCAGAATCCCTTGGGAGTTGGGCGGCATAGAAATATGATTAATTAAATTAAATTAAATATTACTTTGTGTCCCTTAATTCTCTTTAAAAGCCAAGTTTTTATGGCTTTCCTAAAACTCAACTGTATTGAGGTTAGTGTGAAGTTTAGAGGTAAATTGTTCTAAAGAGAAGGCCTGCAAATAGAAAAAAAAGCCCTCAACTCTTTGGTCTATGTTGATGCCAGTCTCTTAGAGGATGGATTTGGAGCAGTTATTGAACATACAAACAAGTTATTGAATATACAAACATCACTAGGAGCAGGTGTTCTGAAGATGCCCAGGTCCTGAGCTATTAAGAGCTTTAAGAATGATAACCAGTACCTTGAATTGCATGCAGAAGCTGAATGACAAAATATGCAGCATTCAAAGCAGGATATTAAATGGAAAGATTTTGGAACTCCATCACTGTAGCATCTTAATTCTGTATATTTGAAGGTTCTGGATGATCTTCAAAGATATACCATCTTCAAATATATACCATCTTCAAAGATATACCATTTAGAATGAATTATAATGAATCTTCACAGCTACACAATCTTAAAATCATAGAATACTAGGGTTGAAAGAGACCTTGGAGGTCTTCTAGTCCAAGCTCCTACCCAAGGCAGAAGTCTTTATAATATCTAAGACAAATGGTTTCTTATCTTTTCTTGAAAACCTCCAGCAATGGAGCACCCATAATTTCAAGAGGCAGGCTGTTCCACTGTTTAGTAGTTCTCACTGACAGGAATTTTCTCCATATTTCCAAGTTAAATCTTCCTCTGATGAGCTTCTTCTCCTACCCCCAGGTACTATGGAGAATAAATCAATACCTTCTTCCCTGTGGCAACCCTTTTAAGTATTAGAAGACCACTATTATGTCTCCTTTCAGTCTTCTCTTTCTTAAGCAAACATATCTACAGGTAGTCCTCAACTTACAACCACAATTGAACTTACAACCCAAAATTTTTGTTGCTAAGTGAGACTTGTTAAGTGAATTTTGCTCCATTTTACAACCTTTCTTGCCACAGTTGTTAAGTAAATCACTGTAGTTGTTATTAACACGGTTGTTAAGTGAATCTTGCTTTCCCATTGACTTTGCTTGTCAAAAAGTTGCAAAAGATGATCATATGATTGTGGGACACTGCAACTGTCATAAATATGAGTCAGTTGCCAAATACCTGAATTTTGATTACATGACCATGGGGCCTTAGTATTTCTTTTTTTAATATTGTGGATGTCCAGAATTGGGCACACAGTTCCAAATGTGGCCTCACCAGTGTGATATAGAGCAGTACTAACATTTCCCTTGATTTTGATACTACCCTTCTGTTCATGCAGCCCAGGACTACATTGGCTTTTTTGGTAGTGCAGCAGACTGTTGACTCATACTTGAGTGGTGGTCCACCAGGACATCTAGATTCCTCTCATAGCATTACTGTTGGGCTATGTACTGCCTATCCTGCATCTGCATCTGGTTTTCCTGCCTAAATGCAGGACCTTGTTTTTCTCGACACTGAACTGCATCTTGTTGGATAGAGCTCAATACTCAAAATTTGTCAAGATCCTTCTGAATCTTGAGTCTATTTTCTGAAGTGTTAGGAATTCACCTCAGTTTTGTGTCATCCACAACTTTTGTGAGTTCCACTTCTATCCCCTCATCTAGGTCATTTATGAAGATAATGAAGAGCACTTGGCCCAAGACAGAACCTTGAGTAAGCCCACTGCATACTTTCTTCCTTGTAAATGCAATTCTATTAACTACCACCCACTGAGTTTAATTGGTCAGCCAACTGCAAATCCATCTGGTAGTGGTACTGTCTATCCCCACTGTTCTATCTTTCCCAGAAGTAGGCTGTGGTCTACTTTATTAAATGCCTTACTACCATCTAAATATACTATATCTGTAACATTTTATTTTA